TCAATATTATATTTGTCAAAATAATATAACTAATCAATCAATTTTGTCAAAATAATACAATTAATCAATTTTAAATTTGTCAAAAAGTGAATAGTGACCAACCAACCAACCAATCAATTAATTTTGTCAAAAAGTGAATAATGATATTTTCAAAATATTTCCCTTTAAATAATATTTATAACAAATATATCATACAATGTATATTTTAAATAGATAATATTTTGTGTCAAATAATATAGAATATGCATAAAAAAATTTCAAATAATATTTTAGATATCATCAAAATTAAACAGCATAATTAACATGTAGCATGAGTTAGATTTATGATTTCTTATTCTGTAAGATCAATTTAATTAATTATGAATCTGTTTATTTTGTTTAATTATCAAGTCAATTAATAATTTTTAATGATATCAAAAATATATTTCAATCAATAATTCATATAACTTTATTGTTGTATAGGAAAGTAATCAAAAATTTCGTATTTTTTTATTAATTTTGTTAAATAAAAAAAGGTAAATTACACTTTGCCCCCTCTAAAGTTTCACCTATTTCCCACTTTGGCCCTTTAAGTTTAATTTTTCTCCCTTTAGCCCTTCATGTTTGCAATGCTTCCCACTTTGGCCCTTCAATTTTAATTTTTCCTGCTTTAGCACTTCATGTTTACTATCCATCCCACTTTAGCCATTCATATTTGCAATCATTCTCACTTTATTCCTAGGCTAACTTCCATCCAAAAAACTAACAGAATCTGTCACATCACTAACACATCAGATCCATGTATGATATAAAAACTTCACTAAAAATGAAAAAAATAAAAAATAGAAAACAAAAAAATTGAATTTACATTATAGATGCATCTAGAATAGATACAGCTAAAAAAAATAATTAAAAAAAGAAAAAAGTTTGCTAAAAATGAAAAAAATGAAAATATATTGACTCAAACACCTGTATTGTTAATCTTCAAATGAAAAATTTACTATCGTTTTTTTTGCTTATAGTGAACTTTTTTATTTTTTAAGTTAAATTTGTTTTCATTTTTTTAGCTAAATCTAATCTAGATGCATCTATAATGTAATAATGTTTATAAAAAATTTGGGGAAAAAGTTCACTAAAAACTAAAAAAAAAATTCAATTTTTTTGTTTTTTATTTTTTATTTTTTATTTTTTGCATCTTTAGTGAATTTTTTACATCACATATGGAGCTGATGTGTTAGTAATGTGACAAATTTTATTACTTTTTAGATGGAAGTTAGTCTAGGAGTAAAGTGAAAAGGATTGCAAACATGAAAGGCCAAAGTGGGAAGGATTACAAATATGAAAGGGCAAAGTGAAAAAAATTAAACATAAAAGGCCAAAGTGGGAAGGATTATAAACATAAAAGGCCGAAGTAGGAAAAATCAAACTTAAATGGCCAAAGTGGGAAATTGGTAAAACTTTAAGGGGGCAATATGTAATTTACCTAATAAAAAATTATAACAAGAGAGCTTATAATTGCAAAATCACATAAAACAATTTATATTTTAAATAAATCTTAAAAGATAGACCCTCTAATTAAAAAATCTTAAAAGGTATTACCCTTTTATTTTAAGTAAATCTTAAATGGTTTTACCCTCTTATTATATATCTTCAATTTGTATATAAATCTTTGAATATATATAGCTTTAGCCAAGGCTAATAAATTAGCTGGCTAATCAAGAAAACTTTCATATAAAATGTAGTTCCATCAAATATTTTTTTTTTATAGGATATTACATTAGAATGATGTGATGGTGTTCTATGTACAATTAAAAACATCTAAATAATTTTTTTGTTCTAAAGTAATAGGCTTAAAATCTATTTAAATTATTACATATAAATTTTTTATGTAAATTTTGTATTTGTATATGACTACCCAACTTTCATTATTAAGAGGGTGCTACCCTACCCTTTTGGCATTGGGTTAGGTATTCACATAAGAAAAATGTTTGAGGGCCCGAAATCAAGGGCTCGAATTTGGCTCGAAATGCAAGACGACGTCGTTTTGCGTTTCGATTTTTTTTTTCTTCCTTTTTCTTCCTTTTCTTCTTCGTTTGAACACATGCGAGAGAGAAACAGAGGCGAGAGGCGAGAGAGAGTCGTCGTCGTCGTCGCAGCTCGTCAGCCGATCGTCGCAGATCGTCGCTCGTCGCTCGTCGCATCGCAGCCCCGCCTCCGCCTCTGCCTCCGGCCCCATTTTTATGGCCCCCTCCAGTTCTGCTTCTCCTTCTTCTTCTTCTTCCTCCTTCTTCCTTCTCAAATTCGAGCCAAATTCGAGCCCCGGTTTTCGGGCTCTGTACCGGGGCTGATTCTTTAATATTCACAAATGAGTTTGGTAATATACTAACCCATAATACACCGAATATTCGGTGCCACATAAGACAACTGGGTCCCGCCACTTAAAAAAAATTAATAATTATGCTACGTAATTTAAATAATCTATCAAATTTTTTATTAAACCTCTCCCATCGCACACATGTGAATTTGTATGGATCTCACACAGATGTGAGAGATTTGATAAAAAATTTAATAAATTATTCACGGTGTAATATTTATAAAAAAAAATTGTAAATAAATAATAAATTTAATAAATTATTTATGGTGTAATATTTTTAAAAAAAAAATTGTAAATAAATAATAATTTTATACACATTAATAATTAAAAATATGATATTGTTAATAATTTTGTAATAGAGCCACTAGTAAGTAGTTTTTTCGAAGAAAATCCCAAATCCCATCTTCGTAGTCGTGACAAGGCACGGAACAGTTGTAGGGTTCCTCTCAACATCTCTGAAAATCCTTCAATTTTTGTGGAAGATCACAATATTGAACATGAAGAAGAAGGAACTAACCAATCTCATGATTGAACAAACAAAAAAAAATAGCAACTGAGGTTTCTCAAGTAGCAGCACAATGTACATGTTTTAGTTAGATTTCCACGAAAGTTCTCTGAATCCCTAATCTTTCTCGGCAAACAAACAGAGTTTTGACACAACGCCAAAAGAAGACAACACACAAGAAGATAGATAAAGCGAGAATGAGTTCCATTCTACCCAGTATTAGTGGCTCAATCAATTGATGAGTGAGAAAATCAATTAAAGTTGTACACAAAAATCAAAATATAGATTAATCTGTTACTAATCACAACAAATTAAAATTAAAAACATTACAGAATTGCAGATACAAACTCCTACCAACAATCAAGGCCGACAACCGATTAATCATATGAAAGCTGATTTCGTAACAGAGCCCGGTGGAGCTCCTGCCGGGTGAATTTTCTTAAACATGTTGGGAAGACAACCACTAGAATTTTTTTCATCATGATCAGCAGCAGCAATTTTATTAATAATGTTCACTTGTTTTTCTTCTTTTTCTTTTTCCATTCTCTTGATCATCTTGTCCTTGTAGAGCTTTCGCATCACGTAAACTTCGACCAGACCAGTTGATCCTGACATGGCTAACCAATATGTTATGTTGTGATGAAATTTAAGGTTGGGTGTTCTTAAAACAAGGTTGTATGAGCTTTCTTCAATTGAATTGGAAAAAAATTTTGAAGGTTGGGTGTTCTTAAAACAAGGTTGTATGAGAATTTCTATATTTATAGAGGGAGAGAGGGGTTTGTGTTTGTGTATGAATGAATGGGCTTGGAGAGCAAGTAAACCTGAAGGAGACTAGAGAAGTTTCTGGGTTGTACATGGATGCTAACTACAAGTTTCAAGATTAGGAAACACACATAGAAAGAGTTGTGTTTTTCTTCCAAAAGCAAATTTTGACCGAGTCTTTCTTAAGTCCATAACTCATTCTAGTCCATTGACAACGTTTGCTTTTTACTTGGGAAGATAAGAAGATTTTTAATGGTTGATAAATATACATGGGACCACCCACACTTAGAAAAAAATATAATTATAGGGAGTATTAGGAAATCTAAAAATCCAGATAATAATAGGTTTGGCTAACAAATGTCTTGGGAGCACAACAAAGATAAAATAAGTGTAGAACTTAATGTATTTTTGATTAGTTTTATAACACTTTTCACTCATTTTAAAATAATTTTTAACTTTTTTTGCCATTTTCAAAACACTTTTTACATTAATCCCAACATTAAACAATGCATATGGGGCACTTTTTAGCATTTGTTATTTTTAATTACAAATTCTAAACATTTTTCTGATTTAATTACCAAAACTACTGTGTGTGGTATTTTCCTTGATGACTGGGTTCAATAAAGGCAAGAGTTCGTTTTTATTTTTATTTTTTTCTTTTTCTTTTGGTTTTTTGCCCTCACAGTTTCAAATAGTCAATAAAAAATTAGTTGGGAACATGTGATAGAATTGGGTTATAGAAACAGCTAATTTGAGCTCAAACTCCGCCCTCAAGCAAGGTCCATTTTCACCAATGAGAAATTTTCATTTTATCCTAAATTAATTATATTCATTTTACACTAAAATTATTTGAATTGTGATCAATTTAATTCATGTCATATTTAAAATAGTAAGATAGAATGACTTGACCCTAAAATGTTTTCTTGTACACAACCACCCTACATGTGAGAGGCAAGTGACTGTCATCTTCCTTTAAAAAAAATATTTTGGGTCCAATTTAAAAAATGTTTTCCTTTAAAAAATATATTCGTCTAAATAAACAAAGCGTAAGTGGAAAATTACCACTCCATACAACATTCAATCAATTTTGCACCCTTAAAAATACCAAACTTTTATGATTTTTTTGCCAAAATTATGTAACGATGACACTTTTATAACTAAAAGACAATCTTAATAAGTTATTTGTTTTAAAACAATAAGTTCACACAACTCAATCACATTATTTTGTATATATTTTCTTCCCTGTTGTTTATATAGTGATTATTATTCTTCTTCTCTTTTCATCCGAACAAACCAAATTTAATTCTGCTTAGTCCAAATACCAGTATTGCCAAAGAAATCAAAACTGAAATTACTGAAGTTGACATATAGAAGAAGAAATTTATCAGGAAAATGTAAATTTTATTTATTTGAAAAGATTTCTCAGTCTCCTTGAAGCTTCAAGTACACCATTTTTATCTCCAAATGCACTAATTCTGATAAACTCTTCACCACCAGGACCAAAACCTCTGCCTGGAACAGTGATTACATGTGTTTTCTCAAGAATCTCAGCAAATACATCCCAGGATCTCAATCCTGGAAATTGCACCCAGATGTATGGTGCATTTTTGCCACCATATACCTTGAACCCGAGTGAAGCGAACGTGTCAAAAATTATTTTTGCATTTTCTCTGTAGGTGTCAATTACACCATTCAAGGCCTGCAAAACAACCACCAAAAAATAATAATAATAATAATAATAAAAGAAGAAGAAGAAGAAGAAGAAGAAGAAGAAGAAGCTGCATGCTGTAACAAATTGTAAAGGGAAACTGGTTGGATAGAAGAACATTATTGTCGCTTGAAATGGTTGGGAAAAATATTGTGCCAAGGGGAATTTTAGTAATGACAAAATTCACATCTTTAAGTCCTAGTTTCTCTTCTGCCGACTAGATTGGGATTGGAACCAGTGGACTAGATCCAATTTACTAGAGCGAAGCAAAACCCTCTTTAATTATTTTTAAAAAAAAAAAAAAATTCAATCAGAGATTTTGTTTTAAATTTTTTTAATGAAAAATGTTGCACATAAATTGATTTTTTACATAATTTTTTTGTCACTAGACACAAAGGCGGTATATTTCAATGTATTTATAATGTGAGCTCTATTATATTTGTGTCTAGCAGCATAAAAATTAAGTAATAAATTTAATTTGTTTAATATTTTTTTTAGTCAGGAGCCTTGAAGACCATACAAATAGTGAAATGTTAAAAAGACACTAGGAAATAAAAGTTTTTGAAGACGGGCTCATCTTCAGTTTGAAACATGTTTTGAAAATTAGAGAAACAGAGATAAGAAATGAAATATTTATGTTTTGAGAAGTGAGAGAGAGAGAGAGAGAGAGAGAGAGAGAGAGAGAGCCTAACCAGGTAGCCCTCAGGAGAAAGGCAAGCTAGGCCACCAGCCTGGGCAATACTGGAAGCACCATTGAAGCAGGTGCACACTACCCTATTGAAATCCTTTATTACTGGATACTGGTTCGAATATAACAGCTCCTCAGGTACCACTGTCCAACCAAGTCGGACCCCCGTGAACCCGGCAAACTTGGAGAAAGATGAAATTTCAATTGCAACCTGTAGTACATGAATCAAATTCATTGTTTGGTCTTCTTCTATTCTCCATTATTAAAAATAAAAAATAAAAAAAAACACTTGTTCGACCAACGGTTTAGACAAAATTTCTGAAAATACCCTTTTTAGAAAACAAGGGCAATACTAGGTACAAGCATATAAGCTTATATGGTCACCTAAGGCATCAATTGAAAAAAAAAAAAAAAAACTAAAGATCTTGTGATCAATTTGATTTATTTTTTTATTCATTTATCATTCGAAGTCAATTTAATCTTCTTCTTCTTTCACTATTTGGGAGTCAATATAAGAAACAAACAAAATGACAAATTACGGTTTAGTTTTGTGAAATTGGAATTAAGTTGAAATTAAACACTTTCATGAATAATTTCATTCAAAAGATTTGAATGACCCTTCTAAAAACTGTGAATGTTTCCAAACTTGCACTTGTTTTTAATTTTCAAAAACACAAAAAACAAAAATAAATTTTTTTAAAACAATAACATATACCTGTCTGGCACCAGGAATTTCAAAGATTGATTTAGGGCTATCATCAGTGATATAAGCAGCATAAGCAGAGTCATAAATAATAATTGACCCATTAGCCCTTGCAAACTCCACCAGTTGCTCCAGTTGCTGTTTTGATGCTGCATTACCGGTTGGGTTATTTGGCGAGCAGAAGAAAATTATATCGGTCCTTGGCGTGTTAGACAGGTCGGGGAAGAAATTATTTTCTGGGTTACAATTCATGTACACTATGTTTTGGTATTTTCCAGTTTCCTCCATGAATTTTCCAGCTTGACCTATTATAACTCCGGTGTCTATATATGCCTGTTGCATAAACATGTTTATAAATGAAATTTGAAGCTTTTTAGTATTGAAATTGAGAACATGTCATGAATCTAAAAAAATAAGTAAGAACAAAATGTTTCTAAGATTATCCAAAAATGTTTGGACATTTCATTGGGCTTGTTTGATATTGTTTTCATTTTTATACCAAAAAATAATTTTTAAATTTTGGTGTTTGCTAAAATGTGGATTGTTTTTATTTTTAATTTTTAATTTCTCAAAAAATAATTTTGGAAAATAGTTTGTCAAACAAGAAAAAAAAAAATTTTACCGGAAAGGATGGGTCTTGAACTGCCATCATTACATCACATCCCATGAGCATCTGCTTGCCCAAAATGGGGAGAAAAGGAGAAGACAACACCAAATTAAAACCCAAAAAATAAATAAATAAATAAATAAATATCAGGATTCTCTACTTTTTTGTTTTTATTTTATTGAATATTCTACAAATTTTATAACAACCTGAAGGCGAGATATGTCGCATTGTGCCCCATCTGATACAAAAATCTCACTTCCTTTTACACCCAAGTCATTGTAGAATGTTTCTGCAATTGCCTTCCTTAATTCCTGGAAATTTTAGAATAAGATCATAGTAAAAGTTTTATCAACATGAATATAGAAACTGAAAACATAAATTATGAAAATTAAGTGTCATTATATATTTTATATGTACCATGTTGCCTTGTTCGGCTCCATACCCTCTGTAACCTTGGACAGTTGATAATCCATAGACATGCTGCAAGCAATAGAATGAATAAATAAATAAAGAATAATAAATAATCATATCCGTCAATGTAAGTATTACTGGGTATAAAAATAGGAGAAATATCAAATGAGTTGTGTTTAGAAAAAATAATTACAAATTAGTGATAAATTTTATAAATATTAATAATTAAAATCATAAATTTGTAATTATTTTTTGAAAAGTAGGCTGAATTGTAATTTTCCCAACAAAAAAAGCCAGAATATTCAAATAGAATTTATCGTAATTATGTTTAAATTGTAGGATTTATTATATTTTTCAAAAATCACAAGGGTGACGATTGTAATTTACCCATAAGAAAATTAGCTTGAAATGGGCCGGGTCAATTTCCAAAACTCTCGGCGGCTTTATTGTTGTGCAATTTTTCCCCAAAATATCTGCCCGAGGATGGGCCAGGCCCAAAAAAACCCAGACTATATTTGGGCTAAAAAGATTTTGGAATTACTATTTACCGAAAAAATATATACTTCTGTTTGATTTGATTTTCAAAATCAATTTTCTAATTTTTTTTTTAAATATTGAAAATTAATTTGGTTTAAAATATGAAAAAGAAATTTATTATTTTCACATGATTTTATCTTTTGGGATGTGGAAATAAGTTTTTAAAAATATCTTTTAGGTGCTTTTTTCTATCAAACTAATTTCTATTTTTATGAGAAAAAAAATTCTGAAAACAAATATAAAAAATGAAACCAAACAAATTTGTAATAATGTTAATTTTAACAATTTTTAAACTTCATATATAAATTGACACAAGGTCAAGATTTTGGAATTACTATTTACCAAAAAATATATACTTTTGTTTGGTTTGATTTTCAAAATTAATTTTCTAAAATTTTGTTAAAATATTAAAAATTAATTTGGTGTAAAAAATGAGAAAAAAATATTTATTATTTTCACATGATTTTATCTTTTGGGGTGTACAAATAATTTTTTTAAAAATATCTTTTAGGTGTTTATTTCTATCAAACTAATTTCTATTTTTCAAAAAAAAATTCTAAAAACAATTTCAAAAATGAAACCAAACAAGTTTGTAATAATGTTAATCTTAACAATTTTTAAACTTCCTATATAAATCGACACAAGGTCATATGTAATGTAAAATTTATCATATTCTAAATAAGATATTTACCCATAAGAAAATTAGCTTGAAATGGGCCGGGTCAATTTTCAAAACTCTCGGCAGCTTTATTGTTGTGAAATTTTTCCCCAAAACATCTGCCCGAGGATGGGCCAGGCCCAAAAAAACCCAGACTATATTTGGGCTAAGGACAGGACCTGTGCTAATCGATTCAATCCCTAATACTGTGTTTAGTTGAGAGATTTCGTAAGAAATTTGGAAAGAAAAAAAGAAAAAATGTGAAATTATATGAAATATAAATACATTTTATTCATATTTTACTTACTTTTTTCATTTCTCTTTCCAAATCTCTCAACCAAACACAGAATAAAATTCGAGCTAAAAAGATTTTGGAATTACTATTTACCGAAAAAATATATACTTCTGTTTGATTTGATTTTCAAAATCAATTTTCTAATTTTTTTTAAATATTGAAAATTAATTTGGTGTAAAATATGAAAAGAAATTTATTATTTTCACATGATTTTATCTTTTGGGATGTGGAAATAAGTTTTTAAAAATATCTTTTAGGTGCTTTTTTCTATCAAACTAATTTCTATTTTTATGAGAAAAAAAATTCTGAAAACAAATATAAAAAATGAAACCAAACAAATTTGTAATAATGCTAATTTTAACAATTTTTAAACTTCCTATATAAATCGACACAAGGTCAAGATTTTGGAATTACTATTTACCAAAAAATATATACTTTTGTTTGGTTTGATTTTCAAAATTAATTTTCTAAAATTTTGTTAAAATATTAAAAATTAATTTGGTGTAAAAAATGAAAAAAAAAATATTTATTATTTTCACATGATTTTATCTTTTGGGATGTACAAATAATTTTTTTAAAATATCTTTTAGGTGTTTATTTCTATCAAACTAATTTCTATTTTTCAAAAAAAAATTCTAAAAACAAATTTCAAAAATGAAACCAAACAAATTTGTAATAATGTTAATTTTAACAATTTTTAAACTTCCTATATAAATCGACACAAGGTCATATGTAATGTAAAATTTATCATATTCTAAATAAGATTTCATACGCACCATGACGTTTTTTGGAACTGAAAAATGAAATTTATTTGGTATATCATTTTTGTTTTTAAAAAAAATAAATTCAATTCCATTTTTTTTTTATTTTAAAAAGTGTTTCTAATTACATAATTTCAAAAAACAATTTCACTCTCTTCTCTCTCTCTCTACAACCACCTCTAACCACTACCAATTACTACCAATTGCCTAACAACGACTTCGGTGACCTTGTGGCCACCCTCATTGCCCTTTGATGACTACTTAAGACCACCTCTACTATCAGTCACCACATCTATTTGCCTTATAACTTCCAGTCACCACCCCTAGCAACTCATTAAATATTATTTTTATTTTTTTTTAACTTATTTTCATAAACATTTGTATATATATATATATATCAAACATTATTTTTTTTATTTTTTTTTAAACAAAAACTTGTTTTCTTCTTTTTTATAAAGAGTGACTGGAAAATCATATAAAACCACTAGGCCAAGTTTGGCAACCCAAAATAAGTACACACTTTTTATCTTTTTATCTTTTTTCCATCACATCATCTCTTTATTTTTCTGTGCATCTTTTCATAAAAAGACAAAAAATACACTTATTTAAATCATTCCAAACAACCCATTAATTGAACTAGTTAAAGGAAGCCACACTTATTGGTAAGATACCTGAGCCATAGCAGATGTAATGATGGGTGGTATAGGGTGGGTAGTATCACCAATTCCAAGTCTTATCAACTTTGCATGTGGATATTTCCTATTGTGCTCCAACTCTCTCATGCATATCTTCGTTAAAAAAAAGTTTTTTAAAAAAATTGAAATAAAAAACACCAAAGGAACTTAATTATATGAGATTTCCTCAAATTTTTTAATTTAAACACAACAATATACTAAACTTTAGTAGATTTTAGAAGCTACTAACCTCAGGAAACAAGTAGTCATTTTGTAGACTTTCCATATTCACGTTACGCGGCACATTCGTGCAATGACCTTTATGTGATCATGTTCACGCATGTTCGTCATAATGAATCATAATAATAATAAATGAAAATTATTCACGTTAATATTTATAAATTTTTTTATTTAAAATGAAATGACTACAAAAGGTGAGTTATTATGAGCAATGGCTTTTACTGAATGTATTCCAAATACGTACCAAGTCTTCTTTCAGTGTCCCATTTGTTTGAACTGAGGGGAAAAAGATATATGTAAAACATATGCAGTGAATCAAAATGATGAAACTGAACAGAGTGAAATATAGATATGAAAGTCAGTGAGTCAGCTCACCTGGTCTGGTGGGGTTGCAAAAGAACAGCAAGAGGCATGCAAATGCTGGACAACATTTGTGAATGATACATATTATATGTATATATATGATTTCAAATAAAGATAGTGTTCCCTCGGTTTTAAGAAGCTATATATATACACTCAAGCACTGGGTAGTGAGTAGTATTGCATGGCGTAAAGCGTTTCCAAAAAGCAAAGTCATTTTCAAAAACATGGATGAATGGAAAGATGGAAAGATGGATCACTAACTAGAAGACACTTTCTAATCACATTCTCAACAGAACTTTCTATGCCACTTCCAACATGTAGACAAATATAGCCAACAGGCTAGCTGCCCATGCAAGTTTTATATAATCTTTTAATATATATATATATATATATACACACACACACATTAGAAGTGGGCCCAAATGCAATGCGTTTGTTGTTTTAGATCTAAATTTTTGGACAACTCAAAGAATGAGAACTGAGGCCTCGTTTGAAAATAGGTTTTTTTAAGTAATTTTTTAATTTTTTGATTAAAATGTGATGTAAAAAAAATTAGTATATTTGGAATGATTTTTTGACTTTTTACGAAATGATATGCAAAAAGTAGAGAGAAAATGGAATCTTTGACTTTTTTGTATGAGTTATTGGCTTTTTGATTTTTTTAATGACTTTTTAACTTTTTGGTTAAAAAAGTCACTTGCCAAACAAGACCTGAATTAATAAATATTAACATTGAAGTTTTAACAGTTACCAATTTTAGAAGTATTTTGAATAATAAGAGCAAGACTTCTCTCCAGAGGTCCAGTTTTATTCACTATGAGCCCATTTTGACAATTCAAGACGTATATCTTATGAAATCTATTGAATAAATCATTTATGTAAAAAAAATGAGGTTAATATGATGTCAATAGTCATTTAATCATATCACATTTATTTTTAAAATAATAAACAAATATTTTTAAAATCATATTTGTCATAATCACATCCAATAATCCCATACATAAGAAAAAGTAGAAAAAATATATATTTCCATATGTGAAACGAATTTGGCTTAATCCAAACATATTAGTGCAACTTTAACTTCAAATAGATAGTTTTCTAAAAAGAAAGTGAAAGTCAAATTAGAGTACAGTATTCCCCAGATAAACCTTTCTTGGATGCTCTTTTATCTCTCACAAGAATAATGTTTGAGAGCCACAATTTCTGTGGCTCAAATGGCTCAAAAAATGACGTCGTTTTGGCATGTTTTGTGCTTAAAACGACGTCGTTTTTGCAGTTTTGAGCCATTTGAGCCACAAAAATTGTTACTATTCATATTGTCTCTTTAAAATTGAAAGTATAAAATAACAATAATTTGCTCAAATTAATGAAAATTGAAAGTATAAAATTCAAATTGTTCAAATTAAAATTATAATAACTAAAATAACAATTTAATTAAATTATAGAAACTAATAGTGTAATTTATTATCCTATTTAGTTTAAGACACCCTGTGACAATTCTTTGAAATTATTGATAATAAGATATTTGCCACAATTGAAAAGATTTTATCAATAAAATCTGCATTTATTTGCCATCTAGGGGTCGGTAGCAATCCATTCTATGAAAAAATGATATCACAAAGAAAAGATTTGTACATTAGAAAATAGGAAAATGCCACACACCCATTAAAAGCCTATGTAACTGATTTTTGTAGGTTTAATTATTACTGCGTCATAATTCAATTTTATAACAGTTATAACTAAAATAAATAAATTATAACCAAACCATATAAGGTATAACCAAAACGTTTTTGGATTATAACTAAAATAATATCATAACTAATATCACAATAAGGGGTTGTTTGGGGTGTCTTAAATAAGTGCACTTTTTATCTTTTTAGACTAAAAAGTTGAGGGAAAAAATATGGATGTTTAGGTTAACTTTTTATGAAAAAATGTGTAATAAAAAATTGTAAAAATTGGTTTGTAGAAGAAAATTAGGATTGAGAGTTGTACAGCCGTAATTGTTAACTTTTGGTGAATAGTGTTAACTTTTTAGCTTTTTGAGTAATTTTTTGACTTTTTGACTTTTTTTAAGTATCCCAAACTTGGCCTAAATCATAATCAAATATTACAAAAGTCATAATTAAGAACACATAGTGTGTTTGGTTTGAGTTTTTTTAATTAAGTTTTTTTAAAACTCAGTTTTTGGGTTTTCGTATTTTTTTGTTTTTAGTGAATATTTTTAAATTTTTAAATATTTTTTTTACTTTTTTAGATGCACCTTACTTAGATGTATCTAAAAAGTAAAAAATTTGTGAAAAAATATTTTAAAAATTTAATAAATACATAAAAATATAAAAAATGTATTGAATTCTCGTATTTTTTATATTTAATGAATTTTTAAAAGGTTTTTTTCACAAATTTTTTACTTTTTAGGTATATTTATGTTAGGTATGTCTAAAAAGTTAAAAAAAAATTACTTAAAATATTAAAAAAAATCAGTAAAAATAAAAAAATACGAAAAATAAGAAAGTAAAATTTTTTGAAAAATATTTTTGAAAAAGCACAACTAAACAAGCTGTATAGTATTCACTCAAAATTTCCCTCAAATATAACAAAAAAGCAGATTAAAATGGACAAAAGAAAAAAGGAAAGAGACTTTCTTTCTACTCAAATTGTTCTTTTCAAAGCAAGAATTGATCAAAATAAGAGATATCAAATAAGTTGTACACAACCTAATTTTCTTTATTAATCAAAGGGAGGAGTGGCAATCAAAAGGTTTCATGCGTAAGAGGTTATAGTGTCGAATCTCATGAAAGTCAAACATTTCAAACTTTAGGATTACTGAAAGTTTGCTTTGTTATTAACTTCAAAACTCCAGAATTAATTGAAATATGCATAAATTGACCCCGACAATCAGTTTTAAAAATTAAAAAAAAAAACATAATTTTTTTTTTTGTTCTTCTTTCTTTCTTTATTTTGTTGTGAATTTGGTTACTTTATGAGCTTTCTCACGAATCAAGCCAAGGACTCCCGAGTTTCCCAAGAAGGTGTCCACGATACGTTTTTCCAATACAAAGAGAGATATGTGTATAGCGGCGGAGTCAAAAAATTAAGATAGAGCGGGTATTTTATAATTTAAATTTGTTTTGATAATTAACAATAAAATAATAATGATTTTATGAGTTAAATTTAAGCATAAAATTTTAATTATTTATTATTAATAGCAACTAATCAAAATTTTGTAATAATGTAGAATAATTCGGACACAATAGTAATGTAAGTATGTAATTTTAGCACAAAAAATTACAAATTAAAATTCTTAATTTTAGAAAATAGAAGCAAATTATTTATAGCACAAATCATTATAAAATTTCTATAATTTTTATTTGATAGAAAAATATTACAGATGTAGTATTGATTATAAAAATGTGTTTTGAATAGAAATTATTCGATAATCTCAAAATATTATGTGGTGTTGATGACGTGGTATTTTGGATATAAGAAATCGCAACTCACACTAAATGATTCACCTATTATCTTCTAATTACCTAACAATAATGAGTTACTATGTTCTATTCATAAAATTTGGCACTATATTATTGATTTAGACTACCACATAAATAACATCATATGACGCTCCAAGAGTACTAAATAAACTATATATTGTATGTGAACAATGCAACAACAACAACAACAAAAATATATATATATATATATATAGCAAAAAAATATATAAATAAATTACATATTGTGTGTGAACAATGCAACAACAACAACAACAACAAAAATATATATATATATAGCAAAAAAAAATATCAACCCCACTCGTCCTGCCGTGGCTCCGCCGGTAGTAGTTAGTAGGACTCAATGACAAAAACAACAACAAAAGCAAATCACTATCTGTTGAAAGCAACAGATGCAATAATGATATGTGGAATTGGAATGGGAATGGAATGGGAAAGACATGACATAGCTTTCAAAAGGATAATTCTCCACGCAAACATATAAGAGAATGACTTGGGCAGAGAAGCCCATGTGATAGTGTGGAGTTGGACTACTGGCTGCTTCTCTATGAACCTTTTTAAGATTATATATCTTACATGATTTATTATTATTATTATTATTATTATTCATTTTAGTAAGGATAAATTACACTTTCAACCCTTAATGTATGGATTTTGATCACTTTGGTCCTTAAAAGAAACTGTTTTTTTCCATTTTGACCCTTAAATTGTTTGTCGTTTCCCACTTTGATCCAATTATCAATTTTCATTATGGTTAAAGGGCAATTTAAGTTTAATGGTGGGTTAAGAAGGAGGTGGTCAGGTGTGTAGTGGGAATGTAATGTGCATAAAGGACAGGAGAGTGGGGAAATTCAGAGGGGGAGAGAAGGTTCTCAAGGAAAATTTTACTCAAAATTTTTTAACATTTATTAAAAAAAATTATTTTTCAAGTTCTTTTAATTTAGAAGGATCTGAAAAAATAAAAAATAAGTTTGTTAAAGATAAAAATAAAAAATAAAAAATCTCAAACTATAGCTAAACTTTGTCAATAACAAAAAAGAAAAAAAAAAGAACAATTGTCAAGCGAATCAACTTTTTAAAAAACAACATTATTCTAATTAAGTGAAAAAATAAAAAATATTTACCAAACCATCACTCATATTTAATTATATTATAATATGACAATCATATTTTGATAGTGTAATTTTTTTTTTAGTTTCATATGATTCCATGTAAATAATCTTGCCGACAATGCTATAATTTGGAAGCAAAAGTTGAGCTTTTGACAAATTTTAACATTGATAGCTCAAATTGTAGATTACTAAAAATATTCTAAGAGAAATTTGAATGATGCTCCCATCGAAGTCAACCGGTTTGGGCGTTGTTACCTTTGGTGTTAAATTTGGCATAAGTTTTAGTATTTATTAATAATGATTTCATTTTATAAAGATCTAACGATGATTAAAAAGATGAGACGATGATTATATCAAAAATGACATAAATGTTGGAGTCAAATTGCTAATTTTTGATATTTGTATATTGTAATATAATTAAAATTTAATAATAACATATTAAATTTGACATTTAACATCGGAAATGCTACGAGGAAGGAAAGTTTGAATATTGAAGGAGCCAAGCTGCCATACTATTGGGGGAGAAAACAAATTTCTCCATGATCACGTGGGTTCAAAATGATGCTGACTGAAGAGTAAATTGGCCAAGAAAATTTATGGAAATTTTGAAAATCAACACCCCTTATACAACAAATTTTGAAATTGGATGTTGTATATATTCTATTCTAGAATACCACCCAAATAATTTTAAAACCGAAATTTCTCTGCACCCACATACTAGTCCCAAAGCTAATTTCCACGAAATGGCTTAAGTTCTAGTGGTACTGGTGCAAATTTATTGTGGTGTTTCAATTAATTTTTTGATGGTGCTACATATACTAATTAGTCTACTAATTAGTGTACTAATATTAGTTATGACATTATTATTGACCCCACTCATTAATTACATTACAAATACCAAAAACCTTTTAAATTATGTCACATCATCAATTGATATACTAGTTAATATACTAATTGATGCATACAACATTATTCTTAATTTTTTATTTGATATTGATTGAAATAATAAAATTTATCACTATCATGTTAACTTTTGAAAAATAACTCAACAAGTATTATTTATTGAATAGTGTAAAGTAATTCTTTAAGATTATCAAATAACTTTTATGAGTTATGTGTCTTATATCAAGGCACTAAATATAATATCATAAAGATCAGGCACTAATACAATAGTTCTAGATCCACAGGGGAAATTATATAATAGTCTTGAAAAATGATGTGACTATATTCCCTCAACAATCACCATTCAATATGTCCATTCATTTTCCTCAATCACTTAACACAAATAACCAATACTCACTTTCTCCACCAATCATATTATCATGGACCACTACGTGACCATACTCCCGAACTACTGAATAATCACAGATAAAAAAAACACATAATGGAACACATTTTATGTTGTACATTTTATGTTTTGCTTACAAACACCTAATTTTTAAAAAAAAAAGCCTAAACAAATAGGGATGACCTCTAGGACTAAACCCTAAAAAGAGTCAAGACTTTAGAAATCACTCTTAGATGATGCTACATAGCATAACTATTAAATCTTATAGCAGTAAATTACAAACTCGCACATAGACAAATTTAAAATCACACTCAGGTACAATTCCCCCAATCATGGAAGGTTAGTCTAACCAACCTTTATGTGCTAAGTAGTTTTCATGATTTTCCAATGAATGGTCATTTTCTGTCATTAGGCACCATATTGGAAGAAGTAATGGCTTTACTCTGTCAGGTTGTAATTAGTCCACAATATGCTGAAGGTAGAATAGTCTTGGCTCTCTAGTTTTCCACAAACAATTTTGCATCCCCCAAAATTACTTTCACCTCTTTTTCTTTATTTTTGTGGAAAAAACATATTAGCCTCTAACCAAAAAACTTATAAAAAAAATTGGGATATAACTCTTTCATGTGTTAAAAAACACAAGAAAAGTTGTACCCCAAAATATTATCACCTTCTTCTTTTTCTTTTTTTTTCTTTTTTTTTTTTTTTTTTTTGTTCAGTAAAGAACAGAAGAATAAAAGAACAAAGCAAGAACAATATAGCAAGAAAAGATAAAGGGGAGAGAGAGAGAGAGAGTTAAACAGTACCCTGAAATATAGACCATTCATACGAAAATTACATCAATTAATTTTTGCAATCTTTATTCACTCACTTGGCAATCTTGTGTCAAAGCATACTCATTAGTTGCACGGGAAAATTGTTTAAAAAAATAAATAAATAAAAACTTTATCAGGGGCCATCCATCCGTCCCTGGCCAATTTCAAGTGTTATAAAAATTCGGAACACAGGTTTCTCCTTTCCTTTTTCATTTTAGGCCCCAACACACAGTATGCACAACTGAATAGCAAAGGAAAACAATCTGTCACAATAGCAATTTCAAAATGAATAAAAAAACAATAGCAATTTCAAAAACAAAAAAAAAAAATCATCACAAAATCTTACTAAGGCAATCCAGTTACAAAATTGTCATAGAATTTAGCAATTTCCCTTGTGATGTGTTATACATTCATGTTATAAAAACAAATAAACAAAAACAAAAGGCCGATGCATGGTAATGGTACAGAGAAAATAAGTTGAAGTACCTCTCTGTATGTAAAAGCATCACAAAGAAAACAGAAAGGAAAAAGGGAATTAAGTAGAGACCAATGTTATCACTAAGTGAACCCCTTGATATTCGAGTACAAGGCCGCCATACCTGACAATAAATTCTAGCATGTGCCTTTGCCGGCCAAGTAATCTGCATAATATGAGCCGCCTTCTCTTGAAAATATTTGCAGTGCCTATGCCTAGCCACTAAAGATTGAACCATCTTGCACAAAAAATAAAAATAAAAAAACACTGGTATTGGCAGGTCCAATATCTCATATTGTTTTCTGAAGAACAATACACCAGTTTGATTTGTCATAAAATCGATCGACAACAACTGCATTACCCATACCAGACACTAACCTGCAAAGTGTGATGTGGACAAAAACAAGAGGATAAGGACAATGAATTTATAGCATAGACAAAAGCATACTATTCATAAACCAAATCCTTCCCCCTTCCCCACCAAATAAGGTTAAATAAACAGACACACATTCACAGTTGAGTGCACACAACAAGAAGCCAAAATTAAAATTAAAATTATTCATTAAGCAGCCCTTGCCTCCTTGAGCACCCTTGAGAACCTAGGAGAACTAGTTCATGTTGATTCGGATAAAAAAATTTGTTTAGCTGATGCTATGGAAATGATTTGAGAAAACCCTTCTATGATATATTGGAAAGCTACATGCACTTTCATCAAGTTCATTGTACATCAGTTATCCTTGCCAACTGGTTGGTTACAATTGGAACCACAAAGAACGAAGATCTAAACAAGAGAAGACAAAAAGCAGTCTCAGGGCCACTTGTGAGTGTGGTTCGAGCTTGCAAGTTTGAAGAGAACGGTTGACAGCTAAACGCATCTAGAATCAGTTTATATGTCATTTTACTTGATCTTGTATTTGAACTCTTGTTTAGTGAATTGTTTCACCACAGAGTGACTCACTGTTTTTAATCCAAGGCAATTATTGTTTCCAAGGGTTCTCCACATATGTTGTTGTGTCCTATTATCTTGATTTATTTACTGTGATATTGAGTGGGATTGCTTCTGTTTAATTGATATATTTGAACTAGCTAATTGAACTGATTAATACACTTGGGCTAAGTTTGGTTAGGATGAAAATGGGGAAAGTGAGGGAGATGGAAAAAAATAATTTTTTGGTGGAGTTTGTTTAGCATGAAAGTGGTGGAAGTTACATTAAAGTTAATTTTCTTGTACAACTCATAATAGCATGATAACTAAACTTTTAGTTTCTTGCAAAAACCACAGGAAAATAAAAGAAGGTTTAAGGGCTGGTTTGGCAAGTGCAAAAAAAGCCAAAAAGTTAAAAAATTACTAAAAATGTTAAAAAGTTATCACTATTCACCAAAAAAAATATAAAAAAATTAATATACAAATATTAAAATGTAACATCAACTTTTTGGCCCATCAATGTCTGACGTCAAGCCAACTGCAGGGAAAGGGGAAAAAAAAAATTACATGTATACATTCACTAAGTTGGATGGTAAAATTGGGCCCGTGGGGGCCCACCATGGGTCCCGTTTTGATAATCCGAACCGTTAAAGATGTAGAACTCGTCTAGTACTATATGCTTGTAAAAAATCACGTCTATCGGATATCGCTAACTACATGATCAAATCAGTTTTGTATAAAAATTGTATGATGTTATAGTTAACAGTTGACCAAAAAAACTAATACGATCAGATAGTTATCGATATCCAATCAACGTGAATTTTTACAAGCATATAGTACTCGACAAGTTTTACATATTAAACAGTTTTGATTAGAAAAACGGGACCCGTGGTGGGCCCCTACGGGCCGAACAACACCGTCCAATCAAAGCCCAAAAAGGAGGCAATTTTTTCCCATGTATTCACCCAGCCGACTGACTGCCAATCCGTACGGTGTACTACACTATCTTCTCCTACACACTTATTTATACAATTTTTTAATACACGTTTTTTCATAAAAAGTCAAAAAACTAACCCAAATATCCATATTTTTTTCCTCAACTTTTTAGTTCAAAAAAACAAAAAGTGCACTTATTTAGAACACCCCAAACTACCCCTAAATTTGTTATAAAAGTAGTTACTTATGATTATAATTCCTATTTTCTTGTAAAATTTTCATCCTAATCAAATTCATACAATAAATTTTGTTTTGCTTTTCTCTTCTTTTTTTTCATTTCACTTTCTACTATTTTCACTTTCCATCATTTATTTCTTTCTAATCAAACAGAGCCTTGATAAATTTTAATTGGTAACATAATCAAGAATTTGGCATATACATGCCCTCTAGGCACAAATGCACCAAGCACCCTTTTTTAAAAATAAATTGTACATATATGTTTAATTGGGGAAAAAATGAAAGATGTGCAATAATAAAAGAAAGAAAATTTTTAGTTCATAGTACATATAGATTTTCTTTCCTCCAAATTTGTTACCCCGCAAACACAACTGAGTAAATCCCATATGTACCACTACATTGTGCCTATGAATAAAAATCTTAGTTTAAAAAAAAAAAAAAGTTTAAAAAAATGTGTAGCACTACTCAAATGTACATATAGATACATATACAAATATGTATATTTCTCTCCTTAGGTATATATTATCATTCATTGTAGATCAATGGATACTAGTTACAAGACTGGATCATGCTCCATAGATTCTCAATTGTTCAAAGTAGGTTTGCATTTGTAAGCTCTCAAAGTTGGATCTTCCCTCTCATTTGGTGCAGATAACTACACAAAAGAATCATCCTGTTTACTCCAATGAAGGTGTTCACATGAAAATACAAGGGACAAAAGAGGTTCAAGGCTTGAAATCTTTTATCCATCTTTGTTTTGGACAGGGCAAGAGAATTCTATGCATCTGTAGAACCCAATCCTAAACCATAATTTTTCTCCTTGTACAACTCAGAAAAGAATGTCTACACAATACAGACGAAGCAATGCGATTACTCAAATGCCCAGAAAAAGGTCAGTTCAAAATTCGGTAAGAGAAATAGCAGTGTAATAATAACAGTAAAACTAGCACTCGAGGAGTCCTCACCATTCATAAGTGGCCACTCAACTCAAGTTTGACGGATGACTATGTCTATCAGCTACCATTGTAATCCCATAGGGTGAAATATAATTCCCACTGATATGAATGCTTACTGGGAATTATCTATAGCTCCACCTCTGTATGGCCTTGGCTGTATGCTTTTGTTGCAGTTTATATCTGACCAGTGTCAACTCACCAAAAGTGATAACTTTTATCCCAGCCTATCCGTATATAAAATATTTCATTGTCCACAAGCATGGTCAACTTTGATCGATGAAGCACGGGAAATCAAAAAATGTTGCCCTAAAATACAAGGTACCAAGTACGGGTATGCGTACCAAGTATAGCAAAAACGTACCTTACATTTTATAGGTCTGTATACATCTGGTACGCGGTGGGTACTCCATGGGTACGCGGTTGGGTATGCCGGGGTCAAAACCAAATTTTGAGAATTTTTTAGGGGCACCGGAGCAATTATTTTTGCTCATTTTGAAAAATTAAATAAATATGGGGTGTTTAGTAATAATAAAAAACATAAAAGCAGATTGTATCTGTCATTTGAAGAAACCATATCATTCGAAGAACCAGAGAACATTTAGACTTCCATTCAAAGAACAAAGTTCGTGGAATCTGCTCTCCATCGAAGACGACAATAAAGCTCGAGATTCCAGTGAGTCCCTCTCTTTCTTCTTCGATCTTCTTCCTCTTTCTTCCTATTCTTCGATTCTTTCAGATTTTTGTCAAACTTTCTTCGATTCTTCTTTCTCTCTTTTTATTTCAGATTATTATTATTTTTTTTTTTTTTCAGATTCTTCTTACTTTTTTAGTTCTTTTTTTTTTTTCAAATTCCCAATTCATTTCAGATTTTTTTTTGGTCTATTTTTTTGTTTTTTTGTTTTTACATTTCTTTTCCACAGTTTTCCCACAATAGCTGGAATTTGATGCAAGCCACAGCCTTATCCCTTTTTAATCATCTTAAAAAACAATTAGGTAATGCAAAATCACCCACTCTGTGCCTTTTCTTACTGTTATAGACTTGTAGTCTGTAGTAGACATTCAGAATTATAAAATAAAAGATAAAAAAAAAATATTTACTTTCATCATAAAGTATTGATGTTTTTAAAATGTTATTTGAATATTTGAAAATTAGTATTGGTGGTATTGTTAAAGATTGATTTATCTTTTGGTTTTGTAATTTCTCTTTTTAATTATGATATTAAATTTTGATGCGTATGTTAGATGTTTAACTATAAATTTATAAAATTAAAAAAATTTAAAAAAAAAATTTGACGTACTCTAGCTGTACCCACACCTTACTTTTTTTAGAATTTGCCGTATCGGCATATCCGTATCTTACCAATACCCGTATCTGCACCCGCACCCACACCTGCACCCGTGCTTCCTAGACTTTGATTCACATAGGTCAGTATCCGATATTTTATCCAAATTTGATCAAAATTCTGCCAATAAGCGTATATGCTTTTACTTCTTCTTTTTTTTTTCCCCCTTTTTGGGTTGCTACAACCTACATCACATAAATTAGCATGTCTCCAAAACTAACACCCCCACCCCCACCCCCACCACAAAAGAAAGAGAGATCCCTGATGTTAGTAACAAAGTAAAATACACAATGAGACTAAAGCAAAGTTGCCACATATTACATAATAAAAGCATGGGGGAACATGTAATAATGACTATCAACTTCAATTATTTGAGAGCTACCATTAATAGCAAAGCAATGAAATAAAAAATGGCTTTATTGCAAAGGCAACAATTCAAGAAGAAATAGCATGTTTACCTTTCAAGCTCGCCTTCACTAAACACGTGGTAATATCTGTTGTACACTACTGCACCCTTTTTATCATCTTTCTTTGCCAAGCCATTTGCAAGGGCGCAAGCAGAAGCCCCACTGACTTCAGCACGGTGATAAGGTAAATGCCAAGGGACAAAAAATTCTTGTTGGTTTTCAAGATTTTGTCCATTTTCAGAAGTGACCAAAGGATCTTGGCTTTGAGAGGTTAAGTCCTTGAAACCTTTTACATGTTCCCCCAAACTATTTTCCTCAGCTTCTGGGATGCTTTCCAGGGTGATAGATGGAGAGCTGCGTGCATGGGGGCTACTTGATCCTATCCACTCCTCAAAATATTTTTCAGTCAGTGGAGTCCATTTGTCAACCAATGACCTATCCTCTTGTTCCACAGCCCAAACAGTAATCAGAACAAGACCACCCTTTTTAACAACCCGTACTAATTCATCTATTGCTTTCTTCCTTCTACTCCCTGTGCTTAGGTGATGTAACACAGCAATAGAAATTGCAGCATCACCGTAACCACTTCGGTAAGGAAGATTTACAGCATCAGCGACCACAACTTCATGACCTCTATCTGCACAAATATTGATAAGAGGAGCACTTATATCACATCCTATAAAAAAACAGCCAGAATTCAATCCCAAGTACTTTCCATTTCCACACCCTGCATCCAAGACAAGAGACCCTGAAGGCAAAGAATTCAAAAAAGTAGCAACTTTTGGCCACTTAGCATACCGTGTGGAACTGAAATGGGGGGCAATTGCATCATAAACACGATGAACATACTTCTTCTCAATTTCTGGGGTGTATTGAACACTTGAAGATGAACACCTCTGGTCTGTGCTTACTAATACAGATTGCGGAATGTGAGATTCTCCATCAGAAATGGGTGTACAAAGACTAGAAGCACCACATATTTTGACTTCATTCATGGTACTGAAAATTCTTGGACGATGGACAATATTGACCACGGCAGTGGAGAGAGTCAAGCCACAAGTTCCATTGAAACATCTCCTTGCCCTTGTAGCATTAAATCCATTGAAACATCTCGTTGTCCTTGTAACATTAATAAATACCGCCAGTTTGAACCATGGAATCTAACTAGACACAAGCCTGATAAAAATAATAATAACAAAAGAGAAAAATGAGAACAGTGTATGGGCCTCTTTGATTTGCAGGATTAATAATGAGAGGATTAACAATCCAAGAAATTAGAGTAAGATTATTTATCCAACTGAATTAATGAGATACAGAATTCCCTCTTGTCCACGTTTGTTTTGCAATAGATATGAAAATATATAATCTCAATTATATGTAAGTTTTTCATTATTAGGTGTAGGGTTAAAAAATCCGTTAATTTTTGTTGAATAGAATAGCCATTGAAATTTAATCCAAATAATAAAATTTGCAACCAAACAATGGTACGTGAGTCCCATAGATTAATAATCTCAATCCCATACTATAATCCACCCAATCAAACAAGTAATATAAGTACAGCAAGGGTTCACTCAAGATGGATAATAACAATTAAATAAATAACTCATTTCTTTTTAAATAAAAATGGGCCAGCTTTTACATAATTTAGATCCTAAATTGCAACCAACCACTACTTAAAAATAAAAACTAGGTCGCAATTTTCCTAAACACAGAGACAAGTAAAGTGCTCTATATTCACATTCATGACAAAACAATTTAAGCTTAAGCTTCTTACAATTGCGAACATCTTATCGATTTCCAATAGCAAACACACTAAAAACCGTGCTCATTCATCGAATCTACGCATACCATGTGATTTATTGCAAAGTTTCACATTTTCTTTTATCTCCACCCTCTAAATTTCCAACAAAAAAAATTTAAAAATTAAGCCATCGTTTGCCCTATCATTAAGCTTCATTCTGTGTCTTCCAAGCAACAATTGAAGCTTAAATAAATAGTATTCAAGACTTACTAGGGATAAACATAACAGCAATCTGGGTTTGAAACACATGTATGTATGAACATATAGATATACAAATATAAAAATCTATATATATACAGAGAGAGAGAGAGGGAGAGGGAGAGGGAGAGAGAGAGAGAGAGAGAGGACCTTCAATGCCGGAGTCGTCACGGCGCTGCTGCTGAGAGCTGGAGTTGGCGTTCTTGGCAAGAGAAGAGTGAAAAAATTAGGGAGGGTTTCAATGTATAATATATAGTGGCATATGGGTAAATATTTTGAAAGGTTAGGAATATTTAAGTAAAAACAGAGGTCCCTTTGGGGAAATTTGTATTTCCACCCACGATAAACTCAGGAACCCTTAATGAAAAATTAACTTAGGTTAAGTTTGGCTAATCTAAAAAGAGTGCACTTATTTCATCTTTTTATCTTTTTTAAGTCACATCAATCAACATCTCTTTTTTACTTTTTTTACACATAATACAAAAAAAGTCAAAAAATACACTTATTTAGTCTTCCCAAACTTGGCCTTACAAGAGTGCCTCTATATTTTTTGATTTTTTTTTAATATTTTACACGTCATATTTGGTTTTAAGGTATATCACTACTCAATTCACATCTTTAATAATTTAAAAAAATATATATCTTGTTTTGATTTTTAGAAAATAATTTTTCAAAAAATTTATTTTTTTATTTTTCGTATTTTAATATTTTTAATGAATATTTTTAATGTTTTAAATAATTTTTTTTTAAAATTTTTAGACGCATTTAACATAAATACAATTAAAAAAATAATATTTATGAAAAAAAATCTTTAAAAAATATACTAAATACCAAAAAATACAAAAAAAAAATTATGAAAATTCAACACAATTTTCGTATTTTTCTGTATTTTTTAATTTTTAAAAATATTTTTCACAAATATTATACTTTTTAAGTGTATTTATATTAGGTGTATCTAAAAATTTAAAAAAAAATTATTAAAACATTAAAAAAATTCATTGAAAATATGAAAAATAAAAAAGTAGAATTTTATGAAAACCAGAACCAAACAAGCTGTATATATTTTTTAAATTATTAAGGGTATGAACTGAGTAATGGTGTGCCTTGAGACCAAATGTAATGTGTAAATAAAAGTACCCTAATGACAATTATATTCTAATTAAAAATCACTATAATAGCCATTGATCAACACTCCTAATATTATATACATAAATTGTTGGAAAATGGTTTTATATAGGCATATTTTTTTAACCCAATTTGGGTGGACCCCAAACGTCTTTTGGGGTGGGTCCGAAGAGGTGAAGTGGTGAAGACGGAACGTCAAAACCATTTATCTTAAATGTTTGTTTCTTAATTTGCATTAAGATTAGGGAGAGTTGTCATTTTATTTGAGTTTTGTAGAGCGTGTAATACAAGCAAAATATTTCAATATATTTTTTCAGTATCTTTATTAAAAAATGACATAAACTGTATAAATTTCAACATAATACGTATAAATTATAACTGCATTTTAATTTTAAAATTATTTACACCGTGCCTTTAGGCACGGGCATACGCTAGTATATATATATTCCAAATAGTTTAATTCAAAAAAGTTCCTACAGGTTTGAAAGGCATAACCACCACCAACGGATCCTTTTGTTTGATAGCATGTTCTTTACAACGGACAGATTCAAAATTTCAAACAAAACCTGTTCAAACATTGTCACATCTGTTCGGCAATTGTTTGCACCTGTTGGGACAGAATGTTGGTCTCTCTTTGTGCCTATATATAGATCCACTTCCTTCAGTTCAAGGATACCCAAAAATTTGTCAAAATTTGGTCTTATTGCTGTCCAGATTTTTCTACTTTTGCATTATTCTTCATTCTAATTTTAGGAATAAATAAAAGAGAGTATAAGAACACAAGGTTTGGTTCGCCGAACAAATTGTTTGGAGTACTACTACAATTTGTGAAGATCATTGTATCCTGGGAGATAGACGCCACTCATCCGTAAGTACCATAGCGGGGCGAATCTGTCTTAAGGACAGAGTGTCACACACTCGACTTGGTCTTGTAATTTTATTTGGTTCGACAAAATAAATCCGGTATGTTATTTATTTATTTTGTTTGAATTTATTTCTAGTTATTTTATTTACACAGAAGATTGTTCCAACAATCTTAAGACAGATTCGAATTATTCTGTTTACAGAATTTTTCGTTTGTTTTCCGTTTTCATTCTTCGTAAATAATTTCGAAAGAAAATTATT